TTGGAGGAAGTTTTTCTTGTGTATTCTGGGATGGTGCAACCCCTTCATTGATAAAGATGTCTCGTGCACACTTTCGGGGGGAGGGGGTTGATTTCTTTATGGTACCTTACGTCTAGCCATTCCTGCAAAACAACACTAAATACGTTAGACTTAATTAAAAAAAAATTCAAAGTTGTAAAACTATGTAGGTAAGCTCGCTGAGTTGCCAAACCCATTTGGCGAGCCAAGTCAGGCTCGCTGAATGTTCCAGAATAAAATTGCTCAGAATTCAGCACAAGTCATCGATGTTCAGGGCCTTTTAACTAATTGCCAACACCATTCGGTGAATTAAAGGTAGCTCACCGAATGTTACACAACATTCACTAAAAATTGAGGCGCAGAAGGGTGATCTAAAAGGGAATTCGGCGAGTCACCGAGTGAACTCGGTGAGCTTGGGCCTATCACCTAATGTTACCAAATGATTTCCCTAATTTTGAAGGATTAAAAGGATATACAATGGGATTTAGGAGAAATGTTGAACTATTCGACGAGCTCGATTAAGCTTGCGAAATAATCCAACGTGCCAGATTTTGACCCTGCCCTTCATTCTCTAGCCCGCAGACCACGAGAACAAAATGAAACACCTAATCTATGAAATTAAGCCTAGACACAATGCACTAATGACATCGGGGTACTCATACTTTCCCTATTTGTCTAAAATTGACCAATCAACGTCTTTTGCCATTAAGAATGACATTACCCGCTCTATCATTGGGTAAAATCAGTCAATCGGTGCAAACGGGGTTACTTAGACTTCACCCATATTAGACCCAACACTTAATCAACTAACACCCACTCTTTTATCATGTAAACACATTGGATTTGATAATTAAAGGTCAATCATAATCTGTGATGACCCTAAAATGAAATAGGCAGAACTAGAGCTTCGCATGTGTTTTAGTGGTGTAATGTTGCCCTAGTCTTATTTGAAATGGGTTTAAGGAGTCAACGTCACGGCACATGTTAGACTCCATGCTATAAGACATGCTCTAGGTTGGTTGAGGATGCTAGACAAGGAGCCAAGCCAAAAGGGGTAAGCCTTAGCCCAAAAGCCAAGGTTGTCCCAAGTTGGCTACTCACTACCCCAAAGACCACGGGCACCACGACGACAAGTGGCTAGCTAGACGGTCTGTATACTTTGGCGTGAAGATCACTTGGTCTCAAGGGAGGCAAGGCAACAATGCCTAGGTGCTGCCTCAACTTCACGAGCTCCACCACGACTCGTGGTGTGCACAACAGATCGTGGGTGTCTCCGTGAAGATGTATTGGGCCCTTTAGGGCTTGACATGGTGGAGAGGTCCACTGGTCAAGGGAACACGGGCACCACCATGAGCCGTGGCTCCCTTCACGACCCG